ATTCAGCAAATAAAAAGTGAGTGCTTTTTAATCTCTCTATCTCATAAAAAATAATGAGTATCTTGTGTGCAAGTTAAATTTTATAAGCTTTCACTGTTTTGTGACTATCAATAGTTCTTCTTAAGCACTAAACATTAACTTACCTTTTTGAAAGTGAAGCATACCACGTCAGATATAGTTCAGCTAATGGTCACCCTTCCTAAGCAACCACAAAACAAGCAGTCCCAGTATGAAGAAGCCCATATTAAAAGAGCAAACAAACTGCAGGCAAAAAAACACCTTCATGAAAGGATAATATTTGCACGCTGTCAGAGCTTCATTAGGAACTGCATGTACAGAATGTCTTCTTATTGATCTACACAACTAAATAAAATGTTCTGTTGTTTGGGTTAAGGTTTGCGTTCTAAGTAGCATTACTGATTTGGAGACATATAAACTTGTTATTCAAATAAAATACTAGGAGCTTGAAATCATCACTTACATGCTCCATGTGAAATAAGCTGCAAAATTTGTTACACTTCTACATATTTCCGTGCGTGTAAACAACAACAAAAAAAATACTACTGAAATTGTTGGATAGATCTGAAATATGAGAACTCAAAATAAAACTTTAAAAGTTCCTTCTTTCATATGGTTCCAGTTTTCAAAGAAGTGTGGTCATTTTTAATGACACCTCAGCATCAAGACTCGTGTGTTCAGTATAGCTGAATCTGTGCTTAACATTTAGTGATTTGGCAACAGGAGATCTGCTGAGGTTGTCGTTTCATGTCCAGGGTTCTTGTGACCCCACTGCCATCATACTTCAGATAGAACACTGGCTTCTGCTGTAAACATGTATATGTAAGTTTACCTACCCTAGAAGCATCCTGAAACAGTTATAAAACTGTATGGTGTCATTGCCTGGTCACTAATATCAACAAACACTCTGCCTTGTGCCAAATCTCAACTGAAAGTATTTTATCAGCCTTTAAAAAGTGTATTTTTTTTTTCCATGACAGGAACAGTCATGGATATGGAGAAAATTAAGTTACCTTAATAGATCTGGTGCAGATAGAAAATACAGCACTCTGCATGCCTTTGCTTAATGCCCATAAGATCAAAAATGGAAATGTTGTATTGCCCATAATATCTCAACATCAAAATAAATTGATCACCAAAAGAAACTGAGGAAAAAAACACAGGAAAAAAAAATGTTTTCTATGAGAAAGAATACTCAGAGTAGAAGATGCCATTATATAACATGAAGAAAAGATGTACTTTTTATTAAATTTATCTCATTCATTCTTTATATACTCATAAATAAAGCACTGCTCCTCCACTGTCCTTACAAGAGTGTCAAACTCTTACACCCTGAAGACAGAACAGTGGCAGAAGCAGACTTTAACTGGTTGGTGTTTTTCACCTTCACCATGTGGACTCAAATCTCCAAGGATAAATCTGTAAAGCTATAGTTCTGAAACAGATTTATTCAATAAAATAAATAAATAAATAAATAGATAAATAAATAAATAAATATGGTAATATTATGTTGTTAAATTGACAACTTGATGTGTCTCCTTCTCTTACATTCGTTCAGAGTCCTGCTTACATGCTTACTCTTACAATTTATTTTATGCTGAGCTTGTGCCCAAAGTGCATGACTATGGGAGGCTTTGCTGTGTTACCTGCATGCTATAAACCAAACTCAGCCTCACAGGGGGCCTCTTTCTTTTCATTCCTGCCACATCTAAGAAGTACTAAAATTAGTACTAATTAAGTACTAAGTACTAAAGTGCTACTAGGTGTTAAATACTACTTAGTACTAATTTAGTACTAAGAAGTACTAAATTAGGACATCCTTAAAGCATTCAGTCTCTTCCCAAATATCTTTGTTCAAAAGGTCCGGTGTTTGATTAGTGTTGAAACAATAATGTATTGTACTCCCTTCCAGGTTCTAAAATTGGAATATAAGCAGAAGCTTAAAATGTAGACATGTTGACAGGGATTTTCATAGCAGTCTAGAGGATTAAGAATCATTTTCCACTAAAATTAGTAGAAGACGATGTCAATCATTTAGGCTGTTTTGTAAATCAGCATTAAATTTCAGCCTAGGAACGGCTGACTACCAGGCTCAATGAATATGTATCTTTCGAATGTTACTTACCAGACATTTGTACGGTAGAGGTGCAAGATATAAAGATGATTTCCTAATTAGCTGCATGCCAGATACACCAAGTTAATAATAATCTCATCTTGAGTGAGGCTTGTTTGTGCTGTACAATATAATGTAAAACAGTTCTGCAATTTGCACTTCATAACATTAAAGTTAAAATAATCCTATTAGACTGGCTGTAATAGGAACTCAGTGGAACTCTAATTTTCCTCAGGAAGCTTGATTATGATTTTTCTCACCATCTATATCTGCTGTCCATAACACTAATCTTGGAAAACCATTATAGGGAGTGCTGCATACTTATTTCCCAGGTGCTCTGAGTAAGGCAGCGCCAGGGATACCTTTCCCATCAAAGGGACATCACAGCATGCTTGCACAGCTTTGAGTTGAACACTGAAAGTGGGACTGAGGACAAGAAAGTGTAGTGGGTTTACATGGCAAGGTTTTGGTAGCAGGGGGCCATGGGGGTGGTTTCTGTGAGAAAGATCTAGAAGCTGCCCCATGTTTGGGAAGGGCCCCATTGTTTTCCAGATCTGAGCCAATAAGCGATGTTGTTTTGCGCCTCTGTGAGAGCATATTTAAGACAGGGAAAAAAACGCTGCACCACACAGCAGCCGGGAGAGTCAAGGGAGTGAGAAACAGCCTTGCAGGTGCCAAGGTCAGTGTAGAAGGAGGGGGAGAGGTGCTCCAGGCGCCGGAGCAGAAGTCCCCTGCGGCCTGTGGTGAGGACCATGGTGAAGCAGGATGTCCCCCTGCAGCCCATGGAGTACCACGGTGGAGCAGAGTTCCACGCTGCAGCCCGTGGAGGAGACCACGGTGGAGCAGGTGGCCCTGCACCGATGGAGGCTGCCCCCTGTGGAAGACCCCTGCCGGAGCAGATTCCGGGCCGGACCTGTAGCCCGTGGAGAGGAGCCCACGCAGGAGCAGGTGACCTGGCAGGAGCTGCTGCCCGTAGGGGAGCCAGGTTGGAGCAGTTTTCTCCTGAGGGATGGACCCTGTGGTACGGACCCATATCTGGAGCAGTTCTGGAAGAGCTGCTGCCTGTGGGAAGCCCACGCCGGATCAGTTCATCAAGGACTGCATCCCGTGGGTGGGACCCCACAGCACAGGGGACGAGAGTGACCGAGAAGGAGCGGCAGAGAAGAAGCGCTGTAGACTGACCATAACCCCCATTCCCCCGTTCCCCTGCGCTGCTCGGGGGGGAGGAGGTGGAAGAGGGTGGATAGGGGGGGGAAGGTGCTTTTGGTTTCTTTCCTTTGTTTCTCACTTCTCTAGCTTGTTAGTAATGAGCAATAAATCTTACTATCTGTCTTCTTATGCTGAGTCTGGTTTGCCCGTTACACTAATTATTGCGTGATTTTCTCGTCCTTATCTCAATCCTTGAGCCCTTTTCACATATTTTCTCCCCATTCCTCTTTGAGGAGGGGGAGTGAGAGAGCGGCTGTGGTGGAGCTCGGCTGCCCACTCGAGCGGAACCATGACAGAAAGAAGCCTTAATGATACTTGGAAGACACCACTCTCACATATGCAGTGCCATGCCTTTGCATAATGCATGCTGCCGTGTGCTGTGCAGGTCCAAGGCAGAGCCTTGGCACCTCACGGCTGCCTCAGGCTATGAGGAACATGATGAATTCCCTCACTAACAACTGAAGCTGGATGAACCAATCTGAGCTTGAAACAGGCTGATTCAAAATTCGGATTGAACTTCCAGCTGCAACCGAGACAGTCGCCAGTCACTCTCTGTATCCACAGGCTTCCTCCTAAGTGACGTTCTGCCACAGGGTGAAGCAGAGGCCAGAGTGTTGAATACATGGAGTCAAACTTCTCTTCATCAAAGAGACAAAAACAAAATTCCAGATCTCTCTTTGCTAAAATGTGTTGGAGTTAACGTGGACTGTTCTGAAATGCCTATCTATAAATTACAGCCTTGAGGCAGACAAGCTGCAAACACCTCTCTATGCAGCTCTTTTGCTGGGAGGAAGGCCTACTACTGTGAGTTTCCTGGGTATTTAGCCTTAGATGAAAGCTATCCTTATAGACTGGAATCTTTATTACTTATTTTGCCTCAGGTAGCATGGTGCTGCAAATATAATGCCAATCTTTCTTAAAGGATCCTGTTGAATTTAGGAGACCAAACCAAGAAGGGCCAACAGGGCCTGGAGACAAAAGGGTCTTTAGAATGGAGGCATACAGTTATCTTTTTGTTATATATGGGGGAACAACAGCAAAGTTGTGATCAGAGCAGCAGTAAAACCCAAATCTTCTGGTTCTGGGCCAGTACTGTTTCCACAAGGTCCCAGTTACCTCCTGGGGCAACAGGTTATTTTCATTGCTTTAGCTTTTAACAGCTGAGCTGTGGGTGACTTCTTGCACTACAATCTCCCTTCTGAAGCAAAATCCAATGTCCTAACACAAACCTCAGCAGAAAACATTTTGCATATTTGAAGAGAAAACCCTTTCACCTAAATACCCTATGTGGTGTTTGGTGAACAGTGAAATACCACCTATGTGGTGTTTGATAAATGCTGCTGAAAGGAACATCTCTGCTACAACTACTAATATTTGAATGTTCATGTGAGGGACATGACAGCTTCAGTTCAGAATGAACTTCAGTTCATTCATAGCTACAGAGGGATGTGCATTTAATGCGTGGTGACCTATTTCAGTGACATCATTACCCTGATGAAAAAAAAATCCAAGAAAGTCTCTTTTTAGTGAAGACTTGTCTATTTGCAAATATATTTCTGCCCTGTACTTTAATGTTGGGAACACTACTTTCTCTCTCCACCTCCCTGCCCCAGCACGATGCGAGGTGGCAAGAGAAGTACCGAGAGTGGAAAGCATAAAGTAAGGGCTAACCAGGCTTTATTTCTGTGCAAATTCAGAGAGAGCACAGGCAGCTGAGAAAGGCTGCCTTATGCTTCTGCTCTGCAGGTCCCCCTTTCGCTGCCCAGGGTCCAGGTGAGGCTCCTGCAGCAAGGCACAATGCCAGCAGAAAGCACTGAAGTCCCCTGAGGACACAGGGTCGTTGTTCCTTCCTGAGGGTGGGAGCTAAGGATGCACCACCTGGGAAGCTCCAGACAGATCCAGCTGCCAAGAAAGGGAAGTAGGAATAAAGGTGAAGGACGGGCATCCTCCCTTCTTGTTCTTCCCTGCTTCATGGAAAGCTGCAAACGGGATTCCCTGGCTTACTGACCTGCAACCCTTGTCAGGGGATTCTCTGTTGCTTGCTTCATTAGTCCTGCCAGGCACTGAAGGTGTTGAACAACCTCAGGCTAATTCAGGGCTGCTTGAGTACAGCAGCAGGACTGCTTCAGAAGAGCCAACGCTTCTTGTCCATATCCCTGCTACCAGCAGAACCACAGGCAAGCAGCACTCAGTGGATAACAGGCAGCATTTGACCAGGACACATCCGCATTGTGGAGACTCTTAAGGGTCTACTGCCACTCACAGTGCCTGGTGGGGTACACCAGAATGAGCTGTGTTTCTGCTGCAAGCATGGCCACGTGGAGACCCATCTGGTCAGTGACAGCTCGGTGCTGCTGCAGAATGAAATGAAGCAAACGTGGAAAAAATGAATAGACTGCACATATTAATAAATGATAGCTTACCTATTCATAAGCCTGCTGTCTTGGGAAGGTTTAAAACAAAGACCTGAGCTCTAGCTTTTTAATTCCCAAACAATGCCATGTCCTGCTGTGTGTGCTTCATCTCCAAGTCTTGAAACCAAGTGGCAAAACTGAAACAAAACAAAACAAAACAAAACAAAAAAGAAAAAAAGAAAAAAAAGAAAGAAAGAAAGGCTAAGGGAAACAACTCCAGGTTAAATAAGTCTGTTATAAAGAATTTTAAAATATAATAAGGATATTTTAAGAGTACAACAAGGATAAGGACAGTTGACCTAGGGTGAGGACTCAGTTAATGCTCAGGAGTTCACTACAGCATCTTGATTTTGGGGCTAGGCATGCAGCTTTTGGTAAGGAGAGGGTTTAACCAGCTCTCCACTTCTTGGTGTTTTCTTCTGCCTCTCTTCATCGCCTCCCTTTTAACGTGTGTGAGTGAATCCCAGCTCCAGCTGTCTTCTTCTCCGGGGTGCCTCAGGATGGGGCACGGCCCATGGTGGTGAGCTTTGCTGAGCTTCCAAGGGCCCTGAGCACAACCCCGGGGCTGCAGCCACTGTGCCCACCCCAGGGGAGCGGAGATGACGGAAGGAGGGATGACAGCCAGAGCCTGCTGTCTGACAGGGCTGAGAGCCCATATTAAAGCTGCAGATGGAGTAGCCTTTTCTGGAAATGTTGGATGGTGCCACTGCCAAAAATTTCAAGGGCTATGTTGTGCGAGACACTGTGTGTCCACAAAGCAAGTGTGGATGATGGGCTCAGGATCTAAAAGTGCAGACAAAGTTCTCATTCCTGACCTATTTTAATCTAGCATCAGAGGCCAGAGCCTGGTAAGGAAGATAAAAAACAGATTAATGGAACCTCAGAATTTCAACCTAGATGAAAATAATATGGTTCAAATATGCCCCGGGGAGGGACGCTTGACAATAGAGAGGATGCCAGAGCAGTGTTACCGTAGCACAATGCAACACACTGGCATGTGGTAATTTTAAGAGCCAGAAGCATCTTCTCTTAAACAATCTGAAATGCAAATGTGAAGCCTGTTTTCCCTCCCCGCTCTGTGTTTTCTTGACAGCCGCTGCCAGGATCCAACCACTAACTTGTCACCACAAAAATATGTCGATACATTGGCAGTGGCTGAGGCGCTGGTCCTGACCTTCATGTGCGTGCGTGTGCCTTCCTCATGCAGTCTTCGGGCCAAAGTCTGGCTTCTTAGACTGACTCAGTCCTGCTGACAGCCAGCAGGATGTGGAGCCAAGGGTTTTGCCCTGAGGACAAGGTGCCTGGCATCATGGAGAAGGGTTCCAGTTATGTACAGAGCAATGACAAGCCTGACCTTAGTTATTAATAAAAAATAAAATAAGCATGGGTGATTTAAGTAGAACCTTTCCTAGCCCAGCTCAGCTCCATGAGAGACATCAGAACCCAATTTCCACTATTTAACTTGTCTGTCTCATCAGAAGTTCAGGCGACACATAACTCAGAGTGCTTTCAGGATCCTCTCCAGCAATGAGCAGGGACTACAGATTGTTTCTTACACCCATGTCCAAAGAAATAAAAATAAAAGTCTGTTTTGCATGGAAGTGGGATGCAATTCACGCATTATTAAGGTTTAGTGGGTTTTGTTCTTTTGAAAATTGTGGTGAAAATAACAGTCTTTTTATAGACATTTGAAAATAATAGTGGTATTTTTCCTTTCTCCTCTTTTTTTAGCTACTGAACGAAGTACATTAAAATGCTTCTTTCCTTTCACTTGCCCAATTTTCTAGCAGCTTCTTGCCTTTCCCTACACATCCCCCATCTGCTTTTCTTTTCTTTATACCTTAGGAAGTTTCTTAATGATATAGTTAAGTATTCTGGAAACAAAAATCTTAACCAATATGGAAAAAAAAAAAAAGTAAAAATGGAATTTTGTTTTGTTTGATTTTAAGCTGTCTTAACTCACCATAAGTCCCCAGGCGCTGTGCCCTATAGCCTCTGGCATGCCAGTTGTCACCTCACAGAGGTCTTTCCACCCAGGTGTGCTCTGTGTGAAGGAGGCTTCACTTTGGCAGACATCACTGCACCCTCCACTACTCCTGTATGATTGTACAGTGGTCTCCTCCAGCTGTGCTGATCTATGATGGACCACGCTTCCACCACCAGTGCTGGCTCCACATCAGAGCCCTGATGCTGCTAATGGTGAAAAGCTTCTAATTTGGACTCTCAGAAACAAGATCATTATGCACAGCTCTATCAACTCTTTTCGGTACCAGTGCTGTTGCACATCTTGCTTTAACAAATCCCTTTCAGTTCCACAGCCCAGTAGCATACTCAGATGTTCACACATCCATCATATGGCTGCTCCTTGGCAAATGAAGCAAAGGTGCACGGCCCTGCCTCATGCTTTGCTTGGCCAGGGATGCCCCAGCACTCTGTACGATGCTCCCATAACCTGCAAGTTAAAGGGGAGAAGGGATAAACACAATGTGAGTGCCATGCTCAGCTTGGCTGCATTCACAGTGCTTTGTGAACTATCAAAGATTTGACATCAGAAGTGAGATGCACACATGCACTTAAATAAAAGTAACCTGAATACACTTAAACATATTTCAATGCTTTGTAGAGAGGGTGCCATGTGGAAGGAAAGAGGAGATGGCCAAGTGTGGTGCACTTCACGTGCCAGTCTGACAGCACCTGCCGTGACTGCAGGTCGTGGGGTGGATATGTCCCCATCCCAGCTCCAGCCACAGCCAGCGCTGGAGCATTCCCCGGCCTTGGCTGGGTACAGCCCATAGCTGAATTCCTCCCTGGGGCAAGGCTTGACAGCAAAACATGAGAAAGGTATTGAAGGGATTTAATTGCATAACTTGCAAGTCTTGGTAGGAGTTGCCCGTGTAAGTTCTCCATGCACATGTGGGAGTATGGATATCTGGATCTGTGTGATGGGGCACTTCAAAACCAGCTGTAGTGATATAAACAGCAATACATATATCTTTATGAAAAAAAAATAAAAATAAATTAAATATAAAAAATGAGGTTTTGCATAAAAAGAAAAGGCTGAAAGTGAGCAAATAAGCTACTTGCCAGATGTCATCCAACAGATTATTTAAGCCAAGCTGGAAGATTGAAAGGGTATCCCAGTTTAAGCTGGTGGTGTTGCATTTCCCATAGCTGTGAGCCCACCCTGACGCCCACTCACAGGCACCACCTCACTTGGGACATGGCAATAAAACTTGGCTTTTTGGGCACGGAGACAACTGGGGTTATATAATGTTCCGTGAATGTTCTGTGCAACAAAGGACCTCTTTCACAAAGGCAGAGCTAGGCAAGAAGTCACTTTGATATGCCGTCACGAGGCAAGGAGGCTGGCACCGGTCAGGGAAATGGGACCAGGAGGTGGAAATACTTGTGGAAGCAGCTGCCTGAAAAGGAGTCTGCAGCCAGTGGCACATCCTGGAGCTGGAAGTGGGACAGAGCTGGAGGGTATCTGGGAGGGAGGAATGCTGCCAGCAGAGGGGTAAAATGCCAGGCTGGATGGCACACAGAGGGGCAGGAGTACGGGAAATGGGGTGACCTCCAGACTGCTTCCTCCAGGACAGAGGAGCTTCGCCATCTCATCAGCAAATGGTCGTGAAATTGTGACTGTCTGCTGCAGAGCTTGCTTCCGAGGGACGGCCCCACCAGCCCTTCTGCCAGGGCAACCCTGTGCTCACCTCTGCTGCAGCACCCAGTGGGGTGGGGCTGGGAGAGAGGATGGCATCTTCAGTGTCTATGAGAAAACAAGGAGAGTGGGAGATCACGTAAAAATCACAGCGGCTGGCAGCTGAAACATGCAGAACTGGTGCCGTAGCTAAATCCAAAGGGTGCCCTCATGGTGCTGTTTCCAGCCTCCCTTTCCTTCCCCTCCTGCCCCCTTCCCTACTGCTGCTCACCCTGGGTCCCCAGTCGAGCAGCTCCCTCATGCAGCTCTGTCACCTCGGAGTGCTGGATGCCAATGCAGAGCTTCGGTGTCCAATGCACAGACACCTTCCCCCCCTGCATTTGCTTTTCACAACTGCTCTTGCAGGCTGCCCTGCAGCAGCATTTGCAGCGCGCTGTGTGACTGCAGCACTTGCTAGCAGCCGTGCTTCTCTCCTCTTTGCTTCTCCTCCGTGCTCCCCTCTGTATCCAGCCCCACTGCACGGCGGGGATGCTGCCTGCTCCCCTGCTGCAGTCATGCAGGTTTGGGTTACTGTGCACGCCGCGGATGTCGAGCTCCTGTCGTGACCCAGCGCTCCATAGGAGGAGCAAATGAGCTGAGACGTCAAGGCAAAAAATTATAGCCATGCGAGCCATCCCTGCGCTCAGCTGCTGGGAGAGTGCATACATGGCTTGTGTGACAGCAACAGCACACAGAAGCTGCAATGAAATGCAGTTAGCAATACAGCTGGGAGGCAGGCAGCAAGGCAGGCGCTGGTCCAGCAACTGAAATGATCCTGCCGTGAGCCAGCCTGCAGTGCCTCCAAAAGTGGCTGGCTACTACACAGGAGCTCAGCTTTCTTCACTATTACTCCAGTTCCCCCGGGTGACTGCAGTGCGCACTCTGCATTGGTTTTGTTGTTGTTGTTGTTTTTTTTTTTTTGGTTTTGTTTTGTCGGTGTGTGGTGTTTTTTATTTTTTTCCTCCTACCTCCCCTCTCTCTCCTCCTGTGTCCTTTTCTCCAGGATGGCGGAAGCAGAGTTGCACAAGGAAAGGCTCCAAGCCATAGCAGTAAGTCAGCTTCGTTTTACTTGTTCTTTTGTCCGTGGCCGGGGGAGCGTTCCTGCAGCGTGGCTGGGGAGCCTTCGGGTGCCAAGTTGTGCATGGAGCTCCCCTTTTGGGAGGCGAGTAGTTAAAGCCTGCTTTGCAGGATTTGTCTGGGGAAGGGGGCTCTGCTGAAGTGCGCAGAGCTGACACGTGCAGAAAGAGAAATGCGAATGCACAGTGGCACACTTGTAAGATTGATGGTGGAAAAGAAAAGAGGGAGTAAGTGGGGAGGAGGGGAGGTTGCGGGAGAAAATCAGTGCTCCACTGAGAAGGATATTTTCATGCGGTGGGAGCGTTAGCTGAGCTGATTGAGAAGTTAAACAAAAAGGATCTGCTGCAGGGCGGCTTTTACTGCAGGAAGCGATGCTGATATTACTAGTTTTTAACACAGTCGAATACAAACAGCACATTATCAAAATCATGTAATTAACTGATGTACTAGTTAAGCTGTCAGCTCAGTAAATGCTTTCAGGCAAATTCTCTGCCGACTTGCATCCTCCCGGGGGTGAGGTCTAGGCAGCATTTTGCCCCATTTTAACCAAAACTTTCATTTTCACATTTCATGCTGCAATTCCTAGAGAGGCACCATCTCCGCCACCGCAGACCGTAGGCAGGGATGCCTGAGGGGATGGGGATCAGGCCCAGGTGTTGGTAAAACCACATCCCCCCTGGCACACAGAAACTGCCAGCTCATCTACCGGTGTGCCACATGAGCAGCCCGGCATGGCTCTGCCAGCCCCACACGGCTGCCTCAACACCCTCCTGTCACAGCACCCAGTCCCCATAGGGACTGCAGGAGGTCTGCAGCAGGGGGCACAGCCCTGACCCCACCTCCAAATATCAACAGATGCTCTGAGCTGCTGCTGCAGCCCGCGGAGATCACGGGCGTCCTTTGTAGTTAGAGGCATGGCTGCTGCTGCTGCTGCCACTGGTGCTGTTCCATGCCGTTTTCTTTACGTCCACTCTTCTGCCAGATAGCCCGTGGAGATCTAGAATAACCAGATGTAAAACAAACTGTTGTATTTTCTTTTCTTTTTCTTTTTCCTCTCTAAAATATTTTCCCTGTAAAAACATCAGATGGTATCATGTGATATGGTGGCGGTTGGGAGTGGAGGGGGAATACTATAAGCATTTAACTGTCAAGCAGCAGAAAGTAGGTTCATTTTTTAAGCTGTTTCAAAGTTTTATGTTGGTGTAGGCATAGCCAGGTCCCCAAATAGAAAGACTGGAGCTGTTCACCCAAAGCTAACCCTCACCACTGCCTCTGGTTTGGGACTCCTGCTGCAATAAATATGGGAGAACCATGCTGCAGAACTGCTTAACATATTGCTGCTATGCATAGCTCTGGAAAACTTATGTCAAATTAAAAATAAAAATAATAAAAATAAAAATAAAAATAAAAATAAAAATAAAAATAAAAATAATAAAAATAAAAATAATAAAGGCTTACATTACTGCTGCTTCTTCTGCCTGCTATGTAGCAGAAAGCCAAACAACATCTATTTCTATTCCACAAGATGTCCTTCAGCCTTTCAGCAGAGTAAGTCAGATAGTCTACTTCTTGGTGCTTTGCGTTTCACACCAATGAGGCCATTATGAATATAAAATTATTATCTGGAGGATTGTAGCTTCATAGAGGAGGCTCATGCAGCTGTGAAAGGAGGCCCTGAGAACCTGGACCTGCATTTTCTCTATATATTTCCTTTATGGCTTCTATGTCTGTATTGCCTGCTAGGCTAGCTACAAGTAAAACACGGTACAGTACTGTATGTGATGAATTAGATTGAAAGAATCCAACTTCAGCATCAAGAGTGTTCATCCTTGTTTTAACCTGAGTGTGGGCCAATGGCGTGACTTTCTGGCTTGCACACTCTGCAGAGCAGCAGGTTGTCCATATAAGCTTCTGAGGTGACTTTTTCGCCTCTGCTTGGACAGTTGCAGATGTTTATCGGAGCACAGAGAAGTTTATTTCTAATGTAAGCTTTGCTCCACCAGGATGTCACATGATATAATAAGTTAGATATTTCTCATCTGCCATTGGTTGGCAAAAATAAGGTCAGTCATCAAAAGCTGCACAGATTTGCTTTAGAAAAAGAGAAAGATGGCATTTCAGTTCAGACTGATGTTCCCTTTAAAGTTATTAGTGTAAAAATGTACTAAACAAGCTGCAGTATCTCACCCTGGTGGGCAAAATCTTATGAAAGTGCTCTGTGATGGATGTTAAGCATACAGAAAGAAAACTTCTGTCCCTGGTGGCTGGAACTTCTGTACACTGTTGTCTGTATGTTTCTGTTTGCTTTCATAATTACCATGGCAAATGAGGAAAAGCAGTGTAAATTTTAAGGGCACCCCACTGAATACTTAAGGAAAACAACATCCAAATATGAATATTCGTATCTGAAGGCTTTTTAAGAGTTTGATTTCATTCTTCATTACTCTGGCTGATCATGGTTTTAGTTGTACGCCTGTCTGGCATGGAGACAAGCGTCATGGGAAGAGGAAAAATGGGGTCTACCTGTCATTACTCTAAACCTTGGTGAACACAAGTCAGTCACCTGTTTTGCCAGCAGTGAGCACTTAATCTCTTTGTAGAGTGTGTATAATGGACTTTGCCCTTGTCTGGTAGGGATACATGCAAGACTGTGGACAGCTTGAATGCTATGGGTAATCAGGACAAGGAAATGCTAAATAAAAAGCAGAAAATGTGGTTCTGTAAAAGTAAAAAAATGAGAAAAAGAAGAGAGCTTTTAATATGCACGTGGCTAATGACATTGCATGTGTGGGTAAAATTTGGGGTGAAAAAGGAAACATTTTTGTGGCTTTGAAAATATGCCTGCAGTAAGCTGCTCAGCACTTTGGAATGTAAGTGGTCCTCAAGGGAGCAGCTCAGAGGCCAGGGGACAGGTGAGCTCTGTGAATTTACCACATTTCAGACAAATAAACTGCATGGCTCAACAGTTTGTTAGGTGGCCCCATTCACTGTGACTGCAGATATCACCACCAGACAGTGATCTAAATATAGGCAGGCATTTACAAAATGTAAATATCTTCCATAGCTTAGATAGCGCTCGTAAAGCTGGCAAGTGAAGGCGCTGAGTATGGATCAGTGCGCCTGAGGTACGAATGGACGTACAATGCAGTGCTTCTCACCCCGTATCAGGTGAATTAAGAGAAATCACTGGGACACGACACTAAGGAGAAACCTTCCAGCACAGCAACAACCAACATGGGAGCTGGAAGAGGTGTTCAGGTTAAGGATATATCCAGACTAAAAACACCAGGGGAAAGCTACTTAAATGTTCAGATTTATTAGCAAGCAAAGCCACCAGGAATGGTGCTCACCACTTCCTAGGGAGAAACAGTGAAATATTAAAGAAAAGTGATCTCTGACATTCAAGTAGCCATGTCAAAGACAACTCTTGTCAGACAAGACCGTTCTTGCTTTTTTCGTGCAATTGCATATTTCTAAGATCCAGTTCTGAGCTGGATATAGCATTACTCAAATGCCATCAGGTGTTTGACTTGGTACTGCAGTTCTCTGTTGTTTAAAAATAGCACCCTCTGGGATCAGTGGGACATACCTTAGATGGATTAAGGACTTGCTAACAGACAGGTCTCAAATAGTTGTTGCTAACGAGGAGTGCTGATGAGGAACCGTTTGGGGGCAAAGGCAAGAGACGGCTTTACAGGAACGCAGTTTTCATGGCTTGAAGGCATTGTCTATCAGTACTCTGAAGTAAATGCAAAGTCAAAATTGATTATCTGCTGATAAAGCATAGAGTGAAGGAGGAGTAAATGATGAAGGCACAGCAGTCCTCCCGAGCAAGTTGGATTATCTGAAAAATGGAGCCCTCCTTTCAATGAAGTCCTTCACACCTGCACGCAGCAGGTGCTGACAGGGCAATGCAGGACCATGCATCCCAGTGCAGGGAGCACGGGGCCAGCACCACGCTGCCACCTTCCCAGAGGGACTGGAAGTTTCTGTGGGAAACCACTCAAAGGGAATGAGAAGGCAGTCTTAGTTCTGCAAGGGAAATTAACTTCACACCAGTTAAACTAACACTGAGGGCAGGTCCTTCCAAAATGGAGGTAGGTGTTTATATATTTACATATAAACCTGCATCGCCTTTTCAACAGTTCTTTGAGAGTAGTAATGCCAATGATACTTTGGAAAGATAGTATCAGTATAGTTCCTCTATCTCAATCACTGTTAACCTAGGCATTCCATATTTCTGGGTTGCACACTTAGCAACTGCAGTGAGCATTATGTGACATCAATGAATTTGAGCAAATTTTTTGGCAGAATAACAAATATCACTTTTTTCCTTGCTTACATACTGTCAATTGACCCACAAAACTAAACCTCATGACTCGTAGATATTGTGCCTAAGATCATTTCACTGTAATACTTCTCCAAAAATTTTATAAGTCATGCCAGAGACCATCATTCATGAAAATTACAATTCCTGGTGTTGGTGATTGAACGGAAAAACATGACACATTAATT